TCGCCCCCAGGCTGGAACAGGTTAACGTCCCGGGTGGAGGGCCGGGGGGGCAGCAGGGGCAGCTCCGACCCCGATGGAGGGGGAAGGGGGTGTCTGGGCGGCACGGCGGGGGGAACGTCGTCAGGCAGGGCCGAGCCTTTAGAGAGGAACCCTAAGCCAGGTCCAACCGAGTCGCCAGAACCAGAACCAGAGAACTTCCTGAGCTCCGGACCGTCCAGGATGTAGGGTGTCTCCTTCATGAAGACCCCAGTGGGGGGCGCTGGTCTGGGTGGGAGGGGCAGCGGGAAGTGGGACCCCCCGGGCTGGTTGGGGGAGGAGTCGGGTCCAGAGAGGTCCAGCAGCAGCTCCTCTGAGGAGGTGGGGCGGTTCTGACCCGGCATGGAAGGATCTGGAGTCTTTAGGCCCGTCTGGCTGGGAACGCCGGGTTCTGGGAGGGCAGACCCGGTCCCGGTTCCGGTCTTGTCCTGTTTGAGTCTGGACAGAGCGTCGTACTCCATCTGCAGCGCCTCGGCCAGAACCAGCTCCCTCTGGCTTAGACCCAGAGCCTCCAGAGCGCCCCAGCCCGCCTCGCTGCCCTCCTTCTGGGTTTGGGTTTGGGCCGCAGACATGGCGGCTGCGGTGGGAGCAGATCTGACGAGGAGACGGTCAGAAGACAATCTGGGTTATTAACATCACTCTGACGCAGCTTATTACTGTAAAAACCTTTCAAACATCGAACGTTAGCATCAGCTATTTCATACCTACAAATACTATACTTATTCAGTTTTTACGTAAATAAGTTAGTACATTTGTTGAGTAACTTATTTTTTTATTCTTTTGACTCATTTTCATTTTGAAAGTTGCCGTGATCCTCAGCAGTGACACCTGGTGGTGGAAAAACAAAACTACATTCACTACAGATTCCTGAACTCCGTTGGAGCAGTGTTACTCTAAAAATCTTTCAAATGTGGAAACAATCTTATTCACTACTCAGTTCAGATGTTTTCCATGTTTCCCATCATCCCCTTGAATTTTTAAGCCAATTATTGTTTAAATGTTATCCATTTTCACAATTTGGATTAACTTTTTGTCATACCATATGCTTGTGACATTGGTCATCATATTCATACAATGTTAAAGTAATAACGTAGCAATTTACACACTGAAAAAACAGTCATCTTCATGGCTAGCGTTAGCTTCCTCTAAGTTTTCTTATGTGTTTAACAGTTTAGCATTAGAGGAGCTAAGATTCTTGTTGGTGTGCTGTCCTCTCCACTAGAGAGTTATAATTATATCAACTCTTTACATTAGTACAAACATACATTCTCCATTACGACCAAGGCGGCCATTTTGGAACATGGCCACCTGATATAGGAAACAAGATCAAGAAAATATATATGGTTTCTATAGTTCAAAACATGTAGGCTGTGCTTTGACAAACACATTCATCTAATCTGTGATTTTCGTGCAAAAATATGTTTTACATGGTGGCCATCTTAAAAAAAAGTCAATGTATGATTTAAAATATGTAAAAATATGAATGAATTAACACCAAACACATTAGTCTAATTGCTGGACAACCATGCTGCAGGTGACTTGATCCCTGTATTTATATCTGTTCACGTCTTCCTGAAGCTGTTTATGAACATGTGTCAATAAACAGGGCCTGGACTCTGCTGGAACCAGACCAGAGGTTCTACTTGACCTCTGACCTCATGGTCATGTGATTCTTAAGGGATCAGACTCTGCTTCACGTTCTGTTCAGGGTCTTCTTAGAGGAATCTACTTTCAGTAAGCTGCAGGTTCTGGTTCTAAATAATAAAAAACAGCTGAGCAAATAAATCCGAGTCACCTGAACCAATCACAGTTCAGATTGGTCAGACTCCCAATCTGACCAATCTGATTGGTCAGATTGGGAGTCTGACCAATCTGCAAACAGTCTGACAAATCGTCGCTTTAACGACCCAAACAGCTTGTTTTGTTCATGCATGCACACAACGCTGGAGGGCTAAAGTTGATTCTTTTCCTTCCCATCTGTAGCGGCGCCGCGCTGGAGCCGTTAACAAAATGAAACCAGGAGACTCAGAGCTCCACAGCAGAGGGAAAAATAACAGAAAAATCATTAAGAACAACTCAAAACTACTTTTTCAATCATTCTCTGTGTTGGATGTGTTACACACAGACTCAATGCCATATCAACTGACTGATCTTCACCTTCCACTGGGAAGTTGGGGGCAGGATCTAGCGTGTGTGACATCACGCTGCAACGTGTTTATTGGTTCACTGCTGGCTCCTCAAGGTTATAAAAGTGGAGTGGGAGACATTCACCTGTCTACTTTTCAAACTTGACCTGAATCTGGTTCTGGTTCTGCTGGAGGTTTCTTCCTGTTAAAGTAGAGTTTTCCTCTCTACTGTCGCTACGTGCAAGGTCAGAATGAAGGATTGCTGTAAAGTGAGCTGATGCAGTTTGCTGGGCTCCCTTAGATGGAAAACTGTACAAACTGAACTGATGTGCTGCTTAGTGTCGGAGAGTGAATGAAACCTGTTTGTTTAGTGAGGAACTCTGAGACAACATGCTGGGAATCAGAACCAGGAAGTGACCTCAAAGAATAACAGAAAGAGAAGTTGGTGTGAGTCTGACATGATGGGGGTTTTAACTGCTTTAATTTCCTCTGTTTTTCAGGTTAAGAATGAATGAAATTAATATTATTGAGGTTATGTTGGACTGTCAGACTGAATCAGCTGGTTCTACCACATTCTAAGGCCGCTGATGCTAATCTGAGCAACGGAGACGACAGATAGATCAGGAGAAGAAGAAGCGAGAGCGACCAGTCTGTGTGAACTCCCCGATCAGACAAAAGGCTTTTCAATGAAGCAGAGGGGCAGGATAGTTCGGAACAAAGAGCTGGGCCGGAGTCACATGGCCGAGGTCAAAGGGTGACCCAGTCAGAGGGGGAGGGGCCACAGTCGCAGCCAAACCCCACCCCTTGCCAGATACCCACAAACATCCTGAGGCTCAGACTGGAAACAAGTTCCTGTTACTGGGAACTAAGCGTCATCAGAACCAGGCAGAGATGAGCAATGATCGACAGAGTGGAAGCTAAAGGAACCAAGTCAGTCCGTCCTCTCTGAACACCAAAGCTCTGTTAAAGGTTAAAGGTCAACACAAACTCCTCATACAAGCTGTCAGGCACGGTGGTGGAGGGCTGATGATCTGGGCTGCAGCAGATCTACGAAAGAATGACTGAAAAAGGAAAGACTCAAAGTCCGGGAATGCTCTAGTCAAAGATCAGTCCTCGCAGGATTCAGTCAGTTTTGACAATATATCGGTTCCGGGAAGGAATCGGTTCCAGAATCTGCTCAGGAATCTGCTCTGATCTGCAGGACAAGCCGACGTTTCCTCCAGCAGAACTTGCTGCTGTTTGATCTGCTGAGATGATCTGGTCTCAGAGAACATTCAGCTGTCGGGCCGAAGTCGGACCCAGAGGATCTTCTGGTTCTGCTCTGAAGGAAAGAACTGTGTGGATCTGCAGGCTTACAAGCTCAGTCAGCTGCTGTAACTTCCGGTCATGATGTCATCGCAGCAGCAGAACAGCATGCAGCAGCAACAGGACCCTCACGGCAGAACCTGGAGGTTTTGGACTCCAGAACCAAGACAGACGTTTAGCCGGACCCGCAGGGCATTCCGGGAAAGCTCCATCTGCTGACATCATCAGCTTGATCCGCAGCCTGTCTGTGAGGAACCGCTGGAGAACCACAGCGGTTCCTCAAACCGGTTTCACTCAGCTGGAGAACCGGATGTTCACCTGCTGCACGCTCAGCCAGGTGAGTCGGATTGTCTGCGCTGAGACCGTCCAACCAGATTCCATTCAGACATTACACACTTTACCTGGGCTTCTTTCACCAGCAGAACACCTGAAGATAAAACTAATCCTCATTTTTCGGTGACGTCATATGAATCCCACTCAGTTTGGACCGGAACTTAATCCAAATGTTGCTGATTTTAGATTTTTCTGAAGGTTTTTCCCTCGGAGGGAGAGTGGAGGGTGCGCAGCTACGAGCCTCCTCAAAAAGAAAACCCATTTCAGAGCCTAAACGAGGCTTGGATGTTAATCATTTCGGAGCCGAATTTATTAAAGGAGCCGAGCCATCGGAACCTCGGACGTAATGGTGACCGAACCGCAGACTGGTCTTACAGAGATACCGGAACATTTTTAAATGTCATTTTTGTAAATGGAGTTTGGCTGAAATCCTAAACTCTTCCAGTCTGATCCACCAGTCTGGCCCGGTGGATCAGAGTTCTGATGAATGGACCGGACCCGGCCGTGTTGGTCGCAGAACCTGGGGGCCATATGGACAGGTCCACAGTCTTACCTGTCCGTGAAGCTACGGGGTCCGGTAGGGGCCAGCGGCTGCCATCTTTACTTTCCTCCGGGAATCACATCGATCCAGGCGGAGTAACGGTCAGGAGTCACCACTGCGTCCGGTTCTCCTCTCACGCAGACCGGAGAACAGCCCAGCCGCTGCCCGGGCTCCGGCTCCTGACTCAGGATAAGCAGCAGGCCCGGAGGTTCTGCCCGGTTCTGACACACGGAGAAAGAGGTGCGGACCGCGGGGCGAGGGCTGCTTGGCAGCTGCGGAGCTGGGCTGTCAATACACACTAATACACACTGTGTTTCCGGTTTACCTTTCACAATAAAAGCTAGACACAATCCTGCTGTATAGTTGCGGGGTTATCTACAGGTCCTTCTCAAAAAATTAGCATATTGTGATAAAGTTCATTATTTTCCATAATATAATGATAAAAATTAAACTGTCATATATTTTAGATTCATTGCACACCAACTGAAATATTTCAGGTCTTTTATAGTTTTAATACTGATAATTTTGGCAAACAGCTCATGAAATCCCAAAATCCCTGTCTCAAAAAATTAGCATATTTCATCCGACCAATAAAAGAAATGTGTTTTAATACCAAAAAAGTCAACCTTCAAATAATTATGTTCAGTTATGCACTCAATACTTGGTCAGGAATCCTTTTGCAGCCTTCAATGTGGCGTGGAGGCCTCAGCCTGTGGCTCTGCTGAGGTGTTATGGAGCCCAGGATGCTCCGATAGCGGCCTTAAGCTCATCCAGACTGTTGGATGAGCTTAACTTTCTCTTCATAATATCCCACAGATTCTCTATGGGGTTCAGGTCAGAGAGCTGGCAGGCCAACAGTAACACCATGGTCAGTAATACCAGTGGTTTTGGCCCTGTGAG